GGTGAGCATTTACCTAGATGCTTTACTGAATAAAACCTTTACTTGGTTCCCTTGGACCAGATTCAGGACAACGAATAACATTATTATGAAACTGTCACACTCCTGGAGTTTTAAAATAATTTATCTTTTAAATTTTTAGTCTCGTGCTATTTGAAAAATAAAAATCTACAGCACCATCTTCTGAAAAGGCACTTTCTAAGAACCGCCTTGCTTTAAAAAATGATTTAAAAATTTAATTTAGCTCTACCCTGAAGAATATCTTTGCTTTACTGAGACCCTAACATAGTTACATTAGGTTTTGGTTGTTTCAGACATTGATTTCAAAAAGGAAGGGAGACCAATGGCTGGACAGATCAATTAACAGGATCTTGATTTTGTCACACACTCTTTGTTAGCTGATACTTCAACAGGGTTTCTTATTGGTAAATCTCAACCTTCCATATTAAATTTATTATCTATTTTTAATTCAAATTAAAATCTTTAGTTTCCATACTTTAAGAACATTAGATTCTTGAGGTTTAATGAACACTGTAAAAATCTAGAGTACTATCTTTGCTGGGTAAAGAAAAATAAAATTCAGCTAGCAGTAGATAGTATTAGCACAAGCCTTGACCATTTTACATTAGTTAAAAAAAATTATTTTGACCGACATGGAAAATTATAAACTAAAACGTACCATTTTTAAAGTAGGAAAAATTCAAAAAATATTTTTTCCCTTTGAGATATCTATAAAAAGAGAGAGGGAGTGAGAGGGGGACAGAGAGATTAAATTTCTTCCTCCTGAGGGTCAGCTTAGGTTTCACAATCATGGTATCACTTCTAACACTGTCCCTGATCAAGAATGTTCTTAGTACAAGCAGAAATTTTTTTTTAAAAGATTTTTTTGGAGAAAACTTTCACATTTCTGTACTGATTTTATACATCTATTCTTGGCTTATTTGACTCCTACAGAATCATGAAAGTGCTTTATATGATCAAACGGGAGGGATATAGGAAAATAAAGACAGACTCTAGAGTCAGGGTTATACTGCCACCCAGGGAGGCCTCACTTGATAAATATAAAGTCTCCCAACTATTATTATTGAAGCTTTAAGACATCCATGAATTCTCAAGAAGAATGAAAACGGTTAAAACTTTGTATGGATAAAAAAAAGCAAAATAAAGATGCCAAGCCGATGATGTCTTTTTGCAGCTTGACTGATAACTCACAAAAGATAATTTAAGTAGCAAGTTACTGATAGGAGCAACCTGTCTTTAAAAAATACTCAGGGGGAGAACATCTAAGAGATGATTTAACCAAATATTTAACTCAGGTTTAATGATACCAAATAAAAATTATACAGAGTTATCAGTTAAGCTTTTTGGCAAAATATTTCTATCAAGTTTGAAATAGCAAGACTACAGAATATTCTAGCTGAATCCAAGTGGCTAGCTTGATGGATTTCATAAAAATCACCACCCTTGGCAAATTCATGTTAGCCTCTGAAAACACCAAATTTCTTTAACAACGGTCTTTAATTCCTGGCCTATAATCCATCTAATTACTTCAGATCTATTACTGGCACTCTTGAGTGTTGACTTCTTCCTTAAACACTGAGATCCTCTGCCAGCCATTTCTACTGAATGGCAACTCAGATTTTATTTAAGTCTGTCATGACAGCCTATCATGCTGTCCGTCATACTAAAATCTGTTACAAAATATACAAGTAAACATTAGGCAGTGGTGGGTCATCAGAGAACCTAGTTTGGAAAACTAGTATGAGTCTTTAGAAGGCTAGGAGTCCCTATGCTAGAAGGTAGAGATGAATCTTTATCAAGTGCCTTCCACAACACCCAGTACATTCCTACTAGAATCCCTTCTAGACTCTTCTAAGAAGAGAAATAAATTAATAGATTACAAACAGGTATATTTCCATAGAAGAACTTTTTTTTTCTGAGTAACTTGTTAAAAGGTAAAATATTAAAAAATAAAGGGCATTTGTACTTCTGTGAAAATATGCCAAAAACCAGTACTGAGGAGATTGAGGTACCCTTTTGCGAAACCGCTAAAGTAAAAATCCACACGTCTAAAACAGTATCCTAATATTAAATTGAAACTAAAATGGCAGCACCCTTTGTTACCTTGTTATTTCATGTTCTTAATCTTATTTAGGAAAAAAAAAGGGGGGGTGTCTAACACTAGCCTCCAATCCTGCTCATCTCCTTATCCTTTAGTGCAGTAACTATCAGACTCTTCATAATTAAATAAATATAGCAGCTACAGTATTATGAATGTATGGTCCTCAATGCCAATAACTTGATACTGTAATAACATATATCAGCACTTTACCCAGACACATTTGCCATCCAGAATATACGTTAAACTCCCAACTCTTCTTCACATGAAAATCAATTATACCAGTGGCTGGGACTGATATTTTAAAGTCACTCTTATGCATCATAGAAAACAGCAGACCAAAATTTAGCATTCATTATATAGTTTAGTGAGCAAAGGCAGGAACAGAAAGGTCATTGTTGAGTTTCATGACCTTTAAATTCAAAACAATCTTTAAAAATTTTTTTTAATAAAAAAAGATCAGGAATTCTATACCAGAAGTGAATAATTAAAACAAATTTCAAAAAGTATTTGCCACCTGGTCTTTTAAATTCTAAGCACAAGGTTTCTTTTAATTAAGTTTGATATACCAATTTGTTAGTAAGCAAAATATACTATACATATCCTTTCAAGTTAACCAACCTTAAACTAGCAATGTGAAACTATAAGAAAGAAACCCTAAAAAAGAACTCACTTTTAAAGGTAAAGCTTTATATTTAAAAAATTGTTTTTCCTCAGTAAAAGTCCTAAATAGATTTAAATTATGGGCTTCATTCTAGCACATGGAAACTAAATAACTGAAAATTAGGTGAAGCAGTAGAGAAAAGGTATCTACAGTTCTTTCCTGGGCCCTACAGTTTCCCACATTAAGTCTGTGTAACTTCTATTGGTAAAGGAAGGTGTTTTACTCATACTGAGAAAGCATACAGCAATCAAGGTTTTAGCATCTAGGGTATACTATTTTCTTCTATTCATGTTCCTGACTATATTCAGTGAAATTTCAATGTTAAAAAAAAAAATACATGCTTTATAGGAAATTTTTGGAGGAGAGGGGGAGGGTTGGGAGAAAAAATATATATACTATACAAATATTACTTCATGTAAAGAGCTTTGAAACAGTGTTGTAAATTGCATTTCAGACACTTCAATAATAAACATACAAAATACAGTACTTTCTTAGTTTTCTGGCAGAGGAACAAAAGATTTCATACCTGTTGGAGGACATGGGCTCAGATTTTAGGCTCAAAATACAGTAAATTGGCAATAAGAGTGGATTACAGGTAAGAGAGAAACTAAAGAGCTAATCCATTTGTTATCATGTGCAGATGGAATTCTGAAAGGGTTAACAATGCCCACTGGAAACAATCCGTAGTATCTACACTCTGAACCAGTGCAAAAAAGAAAAAAAAGAAAATTAAAATGCAATTTTCATGAGTCACAAAGTGCAATGCTCCCCTGAATCCAATGTTACTGATGAACTCAATTTTGACAGCTCTATAATACTTTTTAATATCGTAAAGTGAAATCAATAAAACAGAAGTTTTGTAAAACTTTTTCCACATTTCAGTGATTTAACTTAAAATGATCAAAGTCCTAATTCCTTTGCCACCATAACCCTAATTTTAAAAGGAAAGTTACACTGCTGATAAACTGGCAAAAAATGTTTTAAAAATATCATTTTATATTTTCCTGATTCATTTGAGTAAATGAAAATGGGCACCTAACCCAGTATGATTGTTCAATAAACGTGATCTATTTCCAAAGAAGTAAATGTCTTCTAAATCTTAAGCTATTCACGGGCTTTTCTTTCCTTTCTTTTTTTTTTTTTTTTAAGTAGACTCCACGCCCAATGTGGGGCTTGAACTCACAACCCCAAGATCAAGAGTCGCGTGCTCTAGCAACTGAGCCAGCCAGGCGCCCCTACTCACTGTTATTTCTTAAATCAAAGTTCAACTCTATCTTTAATATTCAAGGTCAGACTCACTTAGGAAATTTAACTTCCTTCATTTTCATTATGATTTTTAAAAGACAGGCTTTAAACTTGAAAAATTATAAAACTTTCCTTCTGAAATTAAGGCTGTATTACTTTGCCCTTTTTAAAATTATGGAGGTGCCTGTTTCTCCCACTGTCCATGGTAAAGATATCAAACAGACACAGCTTTCCTTTAAAACTACTTATTGCACTAAAAGACAGCAAAAAAAAAGTTGTCAGTTCTTAAAATAAACATGATTACATTTCTATAAAAGATGTTGCCAATACAGTTCTCTATTAAAGCACTATTCTAATAAATAGAAAAGAAAAGCTGTACTTCAAAACACACACATATATGTTTATATATACACACATATATATAAAAATATATATATATGAAAATCACATTAAGGTATGAGAGGCAGCAAGTAAACTAGCAAAAAAAAAAAAATAATAATAAAAAAACCCTCAACAACCCCTTCTCTCTCTCCACCCAATTTCAGAGGCCTCAACCCTAAAGAATTCCAATTGTTTAGAATATTTGCCCTTTATAAAAGCTACAAGGGATTTTCATGTATAACGCATAGAAACAGAAGGCTAAATTTAGAATACATATCACTTATAGAGAGGAATTTCTGAGTTACAACTTTTGACAAGGTTTTATATTCATAGCAGCTTTAACAAACTAAAGAAAAAGAATAGTTTAAGGTTGCTACTGCTTATGTACACATTGTACAAATGGCAAATGTAAATTCAGAGCAGGAGGGGGCAGACACACACTCTCACAGAAACATTATATATATATATATATAAAATTACATATATATATATATTAATTTTGTTTCTTAAGAAAGCAATATCAAGAGTTGAGGACTTGGAATTGTGTATGAGACAAGAGACCGGAGTAGGGTGTGCAAAATAAAAATAAAAATCTAGTTTGCCATGCTTCATATCCAAATGAACCAGATACATGAACATCTGAATGTCACTGGTAGCATTAGGAAAAAAAAATGTAGGAGATGAAGGAAAGGGAGGTAGAGAGAAAAATCAAAGTGGTGTTGGTAAGATAATAAAAGGGAAAGAAAGTTCCCCAAAGGAATGACCTATAAAATACACGCACAAACACATATATATCTATTATCAATGTAGATCCAGATATATATGCATATGAAGTATACATGTATATATTTAAAATATACACAGATACCTTTTACAAGAATACACGAATGCACATTAATTTTTTTGCACACATAATCGTGAACAATCACTTTGATTATTCATATAGGTGTGTGTTTTTTTTAAACTGTCATTTACTTTTTCTTTACTTTTTTTTGCAAAGATAGTTGTGCTGCCAAGCAACTTGAGGTAAAGGCATTAAAAGGGTTAGACTACAAGAAAGTGAAAACAAAACAATGGCGATACTTCCTAAGGAGACCGCACAAAAAAGCAGTTGGCTGGTTTCATATTGCATAATGGTGCTGTGTTCCTTGATGAAGTAAACAATCTTCCTTGTATCAACATAAAAATCAGACCCTGGTCCCCACACAGTGTTGGTTGCTGTATGGCTGGAGGCATCCCCACTCAACTGACTCCACTGGAAACATATGCTGTATGTCGATGCATCTTTCAGTTCTTCCTCTCAGAGAATATTCTTGGACTTTTTAAGCAAAGTACATTGTGCGTAAGGTATCTTGGTGAATCTGTACAGCCTTGGCAAGAGCTTGTGGATCTCGTCCGTTGCTCTGTCCTGAAACGTGACTTCCTTCAGCACTGTAAGAGAAGCGGCAATGAACACAAAAACAAACCCTATTCTGACGTAGTAATTTGAAAAATATTACTGGTAGAAAATTTCAAAAATATTTAAAAAAATAGAAGCTGGTATAGTGAATTGCTACATTTCTATCACCCAGCTTCAATAATTATTAACTCGAGGCCAATTTTGTTTTATTTCTCTCGCCTCCCCAGGATTGTTTAGAAGTAAATCCCAGGCATACTATCATTTTGTCTAACAGCAACAATCTTTCCCTTGAATTAATTGGGCAAAGCAACTAAATCACTATACCATTCTAGTACTAATAAGCCTAAAGTGTACATTTTAATGGGAACCCTTATTTTGGGCAGTCAGTTCACCTATGGCTGCTTTTCATATGGATCACTGACTGCTCTAACAGTCTGTGGAACTTTAATTCTAAATGGCAGTACTTTATGGTGAACAGGAAGGAAACATACACGGAAACACTTAAAGGAGATTTCTCAAGAAAGTCCTAGCATGCCGACCATACTTGCATTTGAGTGAAAATCTATTTGTTGTGTTTTTATATTACCTGTCATGTTCTTTGTCCACGAGATGATATCTGGCTCTGAATGCCACTAGGTGAGCATAATACGCTGGTGCAGGTATAGAAACAGATCGTGTACAGCGCACATAAGTGTGGCAGAGCTGGTAAGTTAGCAGCTGAAGTTCATCTGCAGTAAAGCAGTTATCATCCCATAAAACATGATAGTGTGAAGGACGGCTGGTACCCTGTAGAGAAGGCAATGGCATATTCTGTTGATTTTTTTTTTTTTAAGATTTTATTTATTTATTTGATAGAGAGAGACACAGCGAGAGAGGGAACACAAGCAGGGGGAGTGGGAGAGGGAGAAGCAGGCTTCCCGCGGAGCAGGGAGCCCGATGCGGGGCTCGATCCCAGGACCCTGGGACCATGACCCGAGCTGAAGGCAGAAGCCTAACCGGCTGAGCCACCCAGGCGCCCTGATTTCTAAACTTTTAAATAAATACTCAGCACAGACTAAGTTATATAAAAAAATAGCTTTTGTACATTAGTAAAATAAAACATATTCTAATTTAATAATTCATTAAAAATATTTAATTGATTCTGGGTATATATCCAGAAGAAATAAAAGCAGGTACTCAAAACACATATCTGCATACCCTTGTTCAAAGCAATATTATTCACAATAGTCCACAGGTGGAAACAACCCAAGTATACGATGATAGGTGAATGGATAAATAAAATGTAGTACACACACACACACGAAGAAAATTCTGACACATGGATGAACCTTGATGACATTATGCTACAAGAAATAAACCAGTCATAAAAGGACAATTGTTGTATGATTCACTTATATGAGGTAATGAGTAGTCAATTTCAGAGAGACAGAAAGTACAATGGTGGTTGCCAGTGGCCAGGGGAAGGGAGAATGGGGAGTTAGTGTTTGATGGGTACAGTGTCAGGGAAGATGAAAAAGTTCTGGAGACAGATTGTGGTATGGCTGCACACAACGTAGATGTACTTAATGCGACAGGACTGTACACTTAGAAATGGTTAAAATGGTAAGTTGTATGTTATGTAATTTTACTGTAATAAAAACCCCAGAACATTTAGTTGAGTTCCTCTGTATTAGTTACTATGTTAGTTAGGTACTGCAGATTCAAAGAAAAACAAAGTTGACAAAGTCAAAGGTTTCCTTTCTTTTGGAAAACATAATTTAGTAGAGGAGATACAGCATCTATAATTATAAAGACAACTAATAAAAGCTATAGTACTACTGGCACTTAATCCTGTATGAGAATACCAAAGGAAGTAACTGTTCTTCACCAAGGGGAGAGGGAGAGAGATCTGGCCTTGTTTGGGTGGTTAGGGTGAGGGCACACCAGAGAGAATAAACAGCCTTACCAAAAGCACAGGGGGCATAACATTTCATGGTATACTTGGGGAATACCTAACGGACCAGTATGAGCAGAGTATGGTGCAAGAGGGAAAAAAGCGAAGTTTTAAAGTGAAGTCTGGGATCAGACTGAACGACATGCTTAGGAATTTGGACTTTCACCTATAAGCAGCAGGGAAAGTACTGCACAGTTTATGTTTTTTAACAGGAGAGACTTTAGGTATGATGAGATTGGAGTTTTATAAATATAATAGTAATAACACGGAGGCTGGATTAGAAACAGGAAGAGACTGAAAGCAAGGGGAGCACCCAGGAGCCTGCTGCATTAGTTCGAGCATGAGATGATGAAGGTATGAAGTAAGGAAACGGCAATGGCAAAGGAGAAAAGCAGAAAGATGAGCTAATACTTTTTTTTAAATGTTTTATTTATTTATTCATGAAAGTCAGAGAGAGAGAGAGAGAGAGGCAGAAGCAGAGGGAGAAGCAGGCTCCCCGCCTAGCAGGGAGCCCGATGCGGGACTCGATCCCAGGACCCTGGGATCATGACCTGAGCCGAAGGCAGACGCCTAACCATCTGAGCCACCCAGGCGCCCAAGATGAGCTAATACTTTAACAAATATTTGAGCACCATTTGTCAGACACTGTGCAAGACTGTGGGGATAAAATTCAAATTATTACCAAATCTTATCTTCCTCAAATTATACACTCATAATGCATTTATATTGTACATTCACACATTTCAATATTCACTGAACACTCACTGTATGCCGTGTCCCATATCGGGTGCCAGGCACACAGTAATGAATGAGAAGGAGATATGGATGTGAGCTCTGAATGATAAAGGAGGGCTTGTGAGATGGGGAAAGAGCATTCCAGGTACAGGGAAGAGACAGGGCAAAAACCCTACCTAAATGTGATTCATTCGGTTCTCTGTTTTTGTCCCAGTCACAATCATCTTTTGTCTGGACTATGTTAATAGACTCCTAGTTGAGGTCCCCAACACCACTTTTACTCCCCAGTAGAATCTGTACTTCAGTAAGAGTGAATTGACACACACATACACACACCTAATAACATTAATGTCCAGCTTAAAGCCTTTTAATGACTTCCCAATGCACTTTGACTAAAATCCAGGTTCTTATCTCTGCCCCAAAGGCCCATACATCCAGCCTAGGCTGGTCTCTCTAACCTACCTTAATGCTGTGGTCACAGCCTTATTTGATCCCCTCAATGGATAACGTTTTTTTCCACCAAAGAACCTGTATGTGCCTCTGGCAGGAATTTTCTTCCCCCTTCTTGGCTTGGTTAATAACTCCAATTTACTCCTCTTGATCTTATCTTAAATATCATTTCTCAAAGAAGCTTTTTGTGATCTCCCAATCTAAGTCAGGTCCCCACTAAAATCTCTCTTCCTGTCTTTACTTTTCCTTTATTGTTTTTATCCCAATTTATACATATATATTTGTGAGATTACTTACTTAGTATATGTCTCCCCCAATAAACTCTAAGAGGAAGGGATTGTATTTACTTGTTCACTCTGTGTACATAGTATCAACACCTATCTTCTAGGAGGTAGCCACAATAAATATCTGTTGACTGAATGGGTGAGTAGTCTCTGCCTTTTGGGACTTTATAGACTGGGGGAAGAGGGAGAGAAACAAAAGCATGGTTACAATGTTGTCTAATGAATGCAACAAAGAGGTATGCATAGGGTGCTCAGGCAGTGCAGAGGACGGGCATTTGTCTCGGGGAAGGATTTAAGAAAGGCTCTGGGAGGAGGTGATGCCCAAGATCGGTCTTAAAGGATGAACAGTAAGTTAGGGAAGGAATAATTAAGGTAAGGGAGCAACATGGGCAGGAGAGAGTTATAACTATCTAAAAACAGCTTAGAGTGGCTGCAGTCGGCACTGTGTTTATGTGTGTTTGTGTACGTGAAAGGGAGGAGATAATAGAGGAAGAGAAAAAGAGAGGGAAGGAGGAGCAGGAGGGAAGAGTGGGAGAAAAAAGCAAGACAGATTGAGGGTGTAGCAGAAGTAAAGGGAGTAGGATGCAGACATCAGGAATTGAGTCTATATGTTGTCCTAAGAAAATGAGACTTCACCTTAATGGCTATGTAGCACGAAGCAGATGAATGACAGGGTCTTACCTATGTTTTAACCAATCTGAGGGAGAACAGATTAGATGAGGGCACTTAGGATCATTTTACAATTGTACAGGAGAGTAATAATGAAAGCTGGAACTAAAGTGCAGATGAGAAGGGTCTGCGACTGAGAAGGTAAATTCTATAGGGCTGAGGGGTTGCTCAGATAGGGGTGGCAGGTGAGAGGGTGCAGTCAAAAGGCAACCTCAAGGTCTGGAAATCAGGAGAAAAGTTGTGTCTGTAAGAAGAGATTTCAAAGTCATACAGATTACTGAAACTTAAAAATTTAAACCAAACCAAGAACAAATGGAAAGGCAAGATTAAAGGAGAAAAACGTGTGTGGAAGTCAAATGGCAGATGGTGTCCATGAGGGAGTGACAACAGTCTCAGGTGTTCAGAGCTCAAGGAGCAACAGTGGCAGGCTGCTGTAAATTGAAGAGGAAATTACCAAGGGTAGTCTTCTCTGTTCTTAACGTAAAACATTTTACAGAAGTATAAATATATAGAGAAAAGCCCATGGACCCTAAGTGTACAGAATGAGGACTGTTCACAAGTAAAAATACCTATGAAACCAGCACCAAAATCAAGAAATTAAACATTAACTGCAACCATGAAGCCTCTTTCCTGGTCACCACACCCTACCTACGCTGCTCTTGGTAACCGGACTTTTCGCGATATAGATAACATTAAAGATTATGTCTGCTTTTGAACTTTATAATAAATAGCATCATAGGTATGTGCCCTTTGGGTCTGACCTCGTTGGTTTGACACTGTGTTTATGAAATACATCCACATTGTTGCATCATTCTCTTTGTTGTAGAATATTGTTACATAAATATACACTATCCAATCTATTGATGATGGGCATTTGAACCATTTGTAGTTTTTGGCTATGACCAGTGCTACCATAAAATTAATGTACTTTCTTTTGGTGAACACAGATATGCATTTCTGTTGGCTATCCTGGAGTAGACAAGAACCTGGGTCATAGAGCATGCATATATTTAATTTTAGTAGATAATGACTGTTTTCAAAAATGGTCATGTTAATTTACACTCCCACTGGCAAAATGTGAAGTTTCAATTGTTCTATATCCTTATATTATTTGTCTCTTTAAATTTCAGGTGAGTGTCTTTAGGCTATTGTTTTAAGAACAGTTTAGTTAAAAATGAAAGAAAGATATGGGAGAAAAACTTGAAGGGAAATGGCAGGATCAAGGAACTGTATTTTAGGACGGGGCCATTTTAAGCTAAGGGAATGGAATCAGGAGCTTCCAACAGACTGAAGATACAAGAAAGAGGATGACTGGCGAACTAAGACCAACTCAAGGCAGGCCAGAGCAGATGTGAGCAACAGTACATATTGAACCTTTTTTCAGGAAAGAAAGTAGGCATGACTGACAGTGTAATTTACTGAGGAAGGGGTCATGTGCTGAGTGTTGGGGCAAAGGACCAAGGTTAGGGACCCATGGAAAATGACCAAGGTTAGGGACTCCTCAAAAGAGGAGTCAAAGGATTGTTAAAGAATAGTGAAGGATATCTTTGAAGTTTTGGTGATTTGTGTTAGGAAGTTATAATTTAGGACACTGCCTGCTCTGATTCCTGAATGGGGAGCATTTCTCTCTTCAGGAGAACTCTCTTTGGAGGCTCAGAGGGGTCACATGCTCCACCCAGTTGACACGTTTCTAACAGTATGTCAAGTGAGTTTTTTTTCCCCCTGCTGCCCTGGAATTTCAACTAAGGCCCAAAGCAGAGATTAAAGACGCTAGGCACCCCACAGTCTAAAGAGCTACCAATCTTTGGAGCCAGCCACCTCCCCTCAAGGGCTCACTGAGAGAAGCCAGTTCAGGACAGGTTTTATCATTACTACCCTGGCTCTGGCCTCTTCTCACCTAACTCCCATCCTCCCAGTAGGGGAAGAGAGTGATTATGGGTTTTTTGAAAACATGAAATGAAAGGTATGCTCTCTCCCATGAAGACACATAAGGGGGACTCGAAAAGAATCTGTTATAAAATAAGAGCCTGGGGTGCCTGGGTGGCTCAGTTGGTTGAGTGCTTGAGTGTCCAAATGTTGGTTCTGGCTCAGGCCCGATCTCAGGGTCCTGAGACCGAGCCCCACTATGGGGTCAGTGCTTGGTACGGAGTCTGCTTGAGATTCTCTCCCTCACTTTCTCCCTCCCCCTTTGCCCCTCCATCCACTCATGCTCTCTCAAATAAATAGATTTTAGAGAGAGAGTGTGCATGCACGCAGGGGCATGAGCTGGGGAAGGGGCAGAGGGAGAAGGACAAGCAGACTCTCCACTGAACGGGGAGCCCCACTCAGGGCTCAATCCCAGGATCCTGAGATCATGACCTGAGCTGAAGTCAGATGCTTAACCAACTGAGGCACCACATAATAAAATCAGATAAGAGCCTGCTGGAAAGGGAGGCTATTATCTCATGCCCCAGTTGAACACTTTCTGACCTCAGAGCCCACAGGCCCCCTCTGCCAACTCCACAGGGCTGGAACGGTGAGAATTCCTGGAAAGAGTTTTGGGAGCCTAAAGGAATGAAAGTGAGCAGAAGAGCAGGAGCTGTGGAACCCACGCAATGGGATATGTAACCTAACGGAAGAGTCTATACCATTGATGGGGCCCAAGAAAGACACTGCTGCCCTTTGAGGGTCCTCAACCCCGAGGCTATGGCATCAAAAGAATCAGAACAGACTACAGAAAGGCTCCTGTCAGCTCCTAACCACCAGCAGGCTGGCAGTCAGGAATACCAGATGAGTGACAGTCCTAGAAGGAGGGGAAAGAGGTATCTCAGAGTCAGGCCATGGTCCTTTCCTCTTCTCAAAGTTACCGGGACTAAAGCTCTGGCCTGTCCTGGGCAGATGAAGGGTGGAAGGGAGTAGCAAGCTTTGACTTCATTTATAAATTTAAGTTTTAAAAATGAGTGGGAGGGGCGCCTGGGTGGCTCAGTTGGTTAAAAGTCTGTCTTCGGCTCAGGTCATGATCCCAGGGTCCTGGGATCGAGCCCCACGCTGGGCTCCTTGCTCAGTGGGGAGTCTGCTTCTCCCTCTGCCCACGCCCCTCGTGCTCTCTCTTTCATTCTCTGTCTGAAATAAATAAATAAGGGGCGCCTGGGTGGCTCAGATGGTTAAGCGTCTGCCTTAGGCTCAGGTCATGGTCCCAGGGTCCTGGGATTGAGCCCCACATCGGGCTCCTGGCTCACCGGGGAGCCTGCTTCTCCCTCTTCCTCTCTCCTGCTCATGCTCTCTTTATCTCTGTGTCTCAAATAAATAAATAAAATCTTAAAAAAAATGAGTGGGAATTTTCACTCAAAATAAAATGGGGAAGGGAGAAAATAACACCAATAAAAGTGTCAAGAGGTTATGGAATTTGGCTAAAATGTTGTTGAAGGATCTGTTAATCACTGATAAAGTTAAAAATAGTGATATGAAAAAATAATCTCATACTGGTTAGAAATGATCGGATTTTTAATTTTAGCTGGTAAAAAACAAGACTCCTGGTTTTGATCTCTGGGAGTTTGAAAATTCTAATAAAGCTGGGAAGATGTGTAAAAACCATCTTTAGTCCTTGTGAAATATTCCTGGTTATTTGCTGACTAAAGCAAAGTTTCAATTTGGTGTCCTAAAGGAAAACTGTCCCTAAAATTTCTGGTTAAATAAACTATGAAATATCCTGTCTTTAAGACTCATGATGACCACTTGCATATCAGTGGTATCCAAAAATTGTAGAGTGAAAAAATCTTTTTAACCAGGATTTCCAGAATTCATCTGAACAGAGTATCTTTTTTTCTACTCTACAATATTTATTGAGAAGTCATAGCAGTCGTGTTCTGTGGGATACATGGATGGAAACACTAGGTTAAAAATATGCGCTCCTTGGGGCGCCTGGGTAGCTCAGATGGTTAAGTGTCTGCCTTCGGCTCAGGTCATGATCTCTAGGTCCTGGAATCGAGTCCCATGTCGGGCTCCCAGCTCAGCGGGGAGTCTGCTTCTCCCTCTCCCTCTGCCTCTCCCCCTGCTCATGCTCTCTCTTTGTATCTGTCTCAAATGAATAAATAAAAAAATCTTTAAAAAAAATATGTGGTCCAATTTTACAACTCTGGAAGGTACTTTTAACTTTTGTTTTGCTAATTGACTGTTAACCACCCACAGTGAAAATATATAACACTGATTATGAAGAGGAGCAGATATAAGAACGTAGATAAACGAGTGGGATAATTTTAAAGCTATAAGAGTTTGGGGGTTAGTAAGAAATGGGGGTTAGTGTATTTACAACATACAAAGCTTTAAGATACAGCTGTTCAGTATAGAACATCTTCCTGCAATTTGTTTTTTTATTTTTTTAAAAGATTTTATTTATTTACTTGAGATAGAGAGAGAGAGCACAAGCCAGGGGGGACAGGCAGACTCCCCGCTGAGCAGGCGGCCCAATGCAGGACTCGACACGGGGCTTGATCCCAGGACCCTGAGATCATGACCTGAGCCGAAGGCAGACGCTTAACAAGAGCCACCCAGGCGCCCCTGCAATTTGTTTTAATCAAGGGCAAGTAACCTAAAATAGTTTTGGGCTACATTCTCTCAAACATCCAAGGAATGTGGATTCACTGTGCTGTTGGAAAGTTTAAGAAGCACTGAATTAAAGCTTATGTTCCACTAAGTAACAAAGCTAACAAATTAACAAAATGATTTTATGAAAATAAGACTCAAAATTATTTAACTGATTTTCCCAACACCATTTGTTGAAGAGATTGTCTTTTTTCCATTGGACATTCTTTCCCGCTTTGTCGAAGATTAGCTGACGATAGAGTTGAGGGTCCATTTCTGGGCTCTCTATTCTGTTCCATTGATCTATGTGTCTGTTTTTGTGCCA